TTTCCACCTTAAACAACCAGGTTCTTAGGAAAAGTCTAGACCAGAAAACGGCAGGTAGCTCAGGGCCAGGTGGGCTGCACAGCTGCCCGCTCTGCTCAGAGGCAGCGGAGGGAGGCGGGAGCCCAGGGGAGCCCAGCGGCAACGCAGATTCAGGAAACCAGAGTCAAGTCTGGGGGCCGCTGTGTCCACAGTCTGCGGAGCAGAGCCCCCCAGAGGAGGGAGCTGCAGAGACAGAAGCCCACTGAGATCTGCTCAGAAGAGCTACCACAGGCCCAGGAGGAGCCGCCAGGAAGCCCAGGCCGGACGTGGCTGGCTCGGGTTGCCTCGTGTTGTCAGAGTGCACACCTCACACACAGGACTCATGTCACCAGGGCCCTCCCAGCCTTGCCTCAGTGGTGGGGACACGTTAGCCTAGTCCAAGGGCAGCCCTGGGCCCAACCTCACAGAGCGCAAAAGCAAGTCTTGAAAGGACACAACTGACCCAGAGGGTCACATCCGCTCTTGCTCTTGAGGAAAACCTCAATAAAATCCAGCGTCTAACGTGTACGATTCACAATGCCCCACCCCTGAGGAAACGACCCAGTAGGCAGAGAAGCCAGAAAGGGATCCAGAGGGCAGGGGACGGAAATGAGAGAGAAAGTGGGACAAGCAGACAAGGACCCCGAAGCAGCAAGTAGAGAAAGGAATGAGCCTAGATATCACAGGGGAGGCCCCAGGCCACAGTGACCACGGTGTCAGGCCAACTGCGCAAAGTCAACAGCACCACAAGGGATCTTCACAATCATCCTGGGAAGCAGAGGCTTCTCTATCCACACTGGAGAGACAAGAACACTGAGGCACAGAGAGGCCCGGTAGTGGCTCAAGGTCACACAGTTGAAAAGTGGCAGAGCTAGGAATCTCCAGCCAACAGTTTGGCTTCCGAGAGAGAATAAGGGAATTGGAAAGACTTATTTAGTCACATTTATTAATATCAGATAATATCATTGAAAACAGGTTATTATTCACAATTATAACCAAACCTATAACACATCTGGAAACCATCCCCAAACACACAGCACCTTATGGACACTGTCACTCCGCGACTTACTGCCCAGCCGAGTGTGAAGGGGGCTCACGGGAGGGAATGTGGGGCAAACAGGAAGTCACCTGTGTGGACAGCCTGCTTATGGGAGTAACTGCAAAACTGTTAAGGTCCTAGAAGAGCCGAATAAAATAAGAGACACCCCCGCTTCTGGACGGACGGCTACTCTAAAACTCACCTGCAGGGTAATGACAGAAATGCTAAAGGAACTTGGCTAACGTTTTCTAAAATGGGCACGCGGCCTTCCGGGTTTCCAAGACATATCTGTGAGTCTGCATGGAGCCACCAGCAGGTCGTCAGGGGGCCTGGAGTGGGGTGAAGCGCATGGCCCTGACTGCCCGCTCGGCCCTCTGGTGCTGCCTGACACTAGCACTGCCAGCGTCCTCCGTCAGCTGTTCAGAAAGCGGGCGGTCAGGAGGCCCGCACCGGTCTGCCCGTCCCTCTCTGTCCCTCCCAAGTTCACCTACGGCCCTGGATTCTGGGTGGAGCTTCAGACTGGCCCGGTGGATTTTCTGAAAGCAGAGGCGGACTTGCAGGGGTGAGGGACAAGCTGCGCCTCTGCACCCATGAACCCCAGAGGGGCCCGGCCCAGGGAAGGGCACAAAGCAGTGCTCCCAGCAGGAGGAGGGAGAGCCAGGCAGGGCAGGTGGGAAGGAGAAGCAAAGGAACATGGGAGGAAGGGCGGGGCAGGGGGGACAGAGAGTCCCCAAGAGTCTTCCCAGGAAGGTGACACCTTCCAGCCCTCAGCTCGCTGCTGCACAGCAGGACAAGGGGGACGGCGGCCAGCGGTTCACCCCAACCCTGACCATCACTGTGGTGGGTGAACCATCCTCCTTCCCTCCCCAGACCCCACTTCCCCTCAGCCACTCGGAGGAGTCCAGACCAGGGAGTGTCAGTCCAGGGCTAAGGGTGGACTGGTGCCTGCAGATTCCAGTCAAGGAGGGGCCCAGCGGTGTCCCCAGCACACTCTGCTGTCCCAGGTGAACCAGAGACCAGAGCCGCCCTGGAGGCACCCCATTCCCACCAGGCCATCCTCCCCAGGTCTCCTGGGCAGCTGTCAGAGGA